AGTTATCAGTCAAACGGATAACATATTAAACATTGAGAAACTGAGAAGCGATGACATTATCGACACGAATATAAGCGAAGATTCAGCGATCAGTTCTGACTCTTTATACGCCGACCAAAGAACTACTCAAACAAATGTTATTTCATTTGAAACGACAACAAATCGATTCACTGAAAGTGACATCAATTCAAGCGAAACCAAATCAACATATGATCTGAGTTTAGACAATAAAACAACAGATGTTAAAGATATTCAATTAACTACTCAAACGGTTATAATAGACGTCACGTCTCCAGTAATACCTGACATTAGTGTTGGCTCAACGCAAACCTCTTCATCGACTGAACCGACCACTGCTTCTGCGGTCAATATATCGCTGAATGAAAAGAGCGAAACCAAAGACTCGGATAATGAGAGCGGTTATGGAACTGTCGGACAATTCTTGAAGGGAATCATTAGTGCGATCGACAAACAATTGCAGAAAAGAGTTGCGACTGAATCCAGAATCACAAGCAATATTACAAATGAAGTGGCGCTCAGCAAACAACTCAATGATCACAAATCTCTTTCACCGAGAAGTGAATCCAAAACCGGACCATCCCTTTCGTCTTCATTCTTGATTACCGACGACAACGAAACGTCATATAAATCCGATTCTGGGGTTGAGATAATCACCGCAAAAACCGCTTTCTATGATTTCAACGACGATAACCCCAATCACTCTATTCTTATAAACCTAACGCCCAGTAGTCTTAGAGTGAGCTCTTCTCCATTCGGCCATAACTCGAGTCCCGCGACGATTGACCGAAACTTTAATATATTGGGTCAAAACAATAGGGCGACCATCTNCGATTGACCGAAACTTTAATATATTGGGTCAAAACAATAGGGCGACCATCTATGGCAAGCCGGCGCCCAATTACCCGCCGCCAAACTTCATGCAACCACAAAACGACTGGAGAGTTGTTAACCAAAATTTTGCCCGAAGACCTATGTTTGAGGAGACGCCCGGCGGTCCCCCAAAACCAATTGAATCCCTGTATTATATTAGTAATAGTGATAATAGTGATGACATTAGAAGACACGATACGGACGAACCCATAGATGAAAATACTCCGGATGTGGACAAAAAGCCGAGACTAGAGTTTGACAACAATCCGAATAACAGAATGAAAATAATTCCCTTTAAGATTAACGACGCCTTCGGAGGAGGCCTTTCACCCAAGAAGAAGAACGGATCCTTTCTTATAAGACTGTCGCCACCAAACAAGCCATTAGCTCCTGACTCCACTCCAAAGTCCACTCAACAAAGTATGACAAATAAATTGTCTATAAGTTTATACATGTATTTTAATATCTAATTATTCTGTAAATAGTTTCATGTTTTTATAATTCGGTTGAATACCCGAACGGAGCGATGATCCCAAAGCCCGACCCCTGCACTCTCTGCCGATGCTTTTACGGCCGAGAGCTCTGTCAGCAACAGAAATGTCCGGCGCCTCCCGAGAAGGACTGCGTTCCCGAACAGATGAACGGCTATTGTTGTCCCCGTTATATATGCCGTGAGTTATTTGTTATCTCATATTATTGTTTGCATCAATTATTTAATCACAATGTTGTTATAACAAAGGTATTACTGAAGACACGAAACTATCACAAATGCCACCCAATGGCGAGGGAATAATGCAATCGATTCCCGAAATGTCCGGATCTTTGCCCATAAGAAAAGGCCCGCAATTTACA